CCATTTGCTCCATTGCTGTCCTGTTTCTTTGCTTTTCTATCCTTCTTCCCTGTCTTTTTTCCTCGTATTTGTGGGAATGTGTGTGTATGTGTGTGTTTTCATTAAATTCCCTGTTTTACACTAAATTTGGTGGAAAGCCTCTCTTGCTCAGATTAAGGAAACCAGGTGTGACTGAATGCTGCATTTATTTGGTTGCTCTTATGGGGAATGATCTCATTATTGAATTAGTTATTAATAATAACGTTGACAAGGGAAGTTAAGAACACGGAGGCCTGAGGGAGACAGAGAACCATTACTAATTCTCTGAGGAATATAATTCCTAAATTCAATCATCCTTTTTTAAATGATTTTTTTATTTAGCTGAAAGAAGTAAATTAACAGAGTTTTTGGCAGACAATATGGGGCCCAAATGTGTACTGAAAAAAACTGAATAACGAAGTGCTGACTGGGCAGTATTGCGGTTGGCATCAGTGGCCCATGTGCCCACAAAGTGCTTCTTCAGGAAATCACTGAATGGCAACCAAGTCAAGCCTTTCATGGTTGGATTTCTGAATTATGTCCATGGAAATAGGTACAAGCTGAATGCGACCATTTGGAAGAAGTACTGCTATTACTCTTTATTCTTAAATGGATTGTGAAAGGAAATAGGCTGACATAAACATATAGCATTGGATGATTCTGTCCTTCTGATCCTGGTCCAGAAGACATGTCCTTACTAGACTGTGGGCTCCAAGAGGCTGTGACTTTGTTTCCTCAGTGCCTGGACCAGAGCAAATGCTCATTATGTGTATTGAATGAATGAATAGATATCAAGTCAAGGCTTGTTTTGGAGTTGATGAAAGGCTTGGATAATGACAGTGTAGTCTACCTTTGAAGCCCAGAAGGTTCTAACCAACTGACCTGGTTCAGTTTTTTTATAGGCTTATAAGAAACAACAGATCTCCCTTATAGTTCTTTCTTTGTAGAGCAGAAAGTATTACAAAAAGGAATAATATAGTCCAACTATTCATAGTCTCTTTCTCATTTTCTCTTGCACTTATACACACACACTTTGTAGCCTTTTTTTTTTTTTTCTTCTTGTTTTGGTAGGGACAGGTTTTGTGAAATAGGCTCCATCAATTCTACTGAATTTGAAGCTGTGTAATATAAATATAACAGCGATACCAAAATAGCCAGAAATAATAGACTGCCACAGTGTGCCTCAGCATTTCTTAAGCAATGTCTAATCAAGCATGGACAGCATCTGTATTTCCAGCAAATCTCTATAGGAATGTTATCTTCTAACACAGTAATTAATCACTAGTTGTCATGTGTCAGAAAACTTATTTAACAAGAAGTTGCAGAGCACTTGTGGTTTTTTATTTCCATAGCCTTCCTGGCCAGTGGAAAATATAACACCTTCCCATAATAAAGAAATGAAGGATCTGGAGTGATTCCATTTACGTTGATTCTCCTACCCATGCTATTGTTAAGTTGTCCTTCTCTTTTTGTATGCACCTTTACTCTAATTAAACTTAGAGGAGGATAGATCTTGGATGAGCAAGGGATCAGGACAACCTATAACATTACCAGAATTACAGAGAGCCCCTGCCCTCTATGGAAATGATCACTTGAGCTCTGCTATGGCTTTGACCCTTTTGACCCCACTATTAATTTTCAGACTCAAAAAGATTCTTTGTCCATGAAAATCACTGCAGATTAACTAGAAAGTGGAAGGGCTTCATGAGTATGCTTTTTTAGTTCCTTTCATCATAGAACATCTTAACTTAAGCCATCATGTGCCTTTCCAAAAATGAGTCACTGAAACCACCCTACAAGTTCAGGTGGTGGGTGTGTAACAAGAGAAGACACTGTAGTCCCGAAGGTGTATCTGGCCATCTTTAGAGTTTAAATGAAGCCATTATTCAAAAACAAATATTCCAGAGTTTTCTTCCCAGTTCCCCCCCTCTCCCTTTTGTACCTGCCTTTCCCATTACAGTTGGCTCCTTTTTCTCCTTTCTC